TCCAAAGATTTCACATTTCTGTTTTATGGGGCCCCTTTCTCTCTTCTTCCAGCTGCCCCTCAATGTCACTCTTCTTCTGTGACATCAGAGTATTCCACATTGTTCAGTATCCTTTGGGTTTTCTTCCAAATGGCAGTGGCTCACCCTAATTTCTGTCTGTTTGGAAAAATCTTTGCTTATTGCCCTCTCTCCTCCCAGTCTGTAATCACTCTCTTTCTTTAAAACTATCTTTGCTTTGTGGGGGTCCCATGTCTGCCATGGAGAACCTAGAAAGCCCCTGGGCCATATTTCAAATGACGTATCAGGAAATTCTGAACATGTTTGAAACTCCAACTAATTCTATGGGATTACAGAGGTTTATATACTGCATTCCACTTTTTCCCCTTGGTATTTTCACATACTTCTGAAATGTCAAAGGGACTAGATTTCTCTTTATCCAGATATTAAATATATATGAAAACTCTAGGGGATGGAATTAAGATGCTCAATCTGGTTTCCCTTTAAAAAATCTCCTAGGGCTTTGTGACTATTAATGTAGGTTTCCATTATCATTTGGCAATAGGGTACAAATACAAGGGGGTCTTCAAAAAGTTCTAGGAAAGATTTGTTTTATGTTTTAATTTTATTTTTCTATGAACTTTGTGAAGTACCCTTGTAAAATTGTAGCTTTTTTTCCTGTTTTTTTAAAAAAGTTTTTTGATGAAACAATAGACCACAAGCGTCTGTTACCTTTATCTGTGATCCCAGCCCCATAATGGAGATGGGCAAAGACCAATGTAATATGCAGAAACTTGAGATTTTTGTCATTTGTTGAAGCCAGTCAGTGACTAGGAGGCAAGCAGTTGGTGTCTCAAGGTTTCCTTGAAGAAGGAAACTTTCATAAAGGTTTTTGATTTAGTCTTCTGGCCCCATATATTCTCCATACCCCTTCAGTTGGGTTCCCCTCCTACCTCCTAGACGTCCTACCTCCTAGAGGCATTCTGCACCGTTAGATGCACTCTACCTGATACAGGAAGCTATGTGTCCCCTGCAGATAGAAGGAAATATAGGAGGTCATGGAGCAGTACTCCTCAAACTTTAGTATTGTGTACTGTTCTTTTAAAGGGAGAACATTCTTCATAACCCAGCATATTGACTGAAGTTATTTTTATTTAAATATTGCTTATATGTGCATGAACCCAGAATTAAACTCCTTTTATTTATGACCCTGTACGACTGAGAAATCAAAACCCATTTACAAGTTAAATATAACCGAGACTAAAAGAACCAGATACTCAAATTAGCAACATGAATTCAATGCAGTGGCTAGTGTGTTGTGGGAAGAGAATTGCTGTGCAATCTGAGTGTAGTTCTTGCTGCTGGGCACAGGTGCAGGTCTTCAAGCCAAGAATGTGCATTTCCAGCAAGTTCCCAGGTGGTGCTCATAATGCACACGCAAGTGGTCTGAGGACTGTACTTTGGGAACTGCTACACCAGTCTGATCATTGGGAAACTTTCTTCTCCACAGATATAAGCACAAAAGCATTTTTGAGAAATTAAATCCACCTCTGCTCCTTTCTCATTAGGCCGTGACAATAAAAGTGATAATTTTTGGCAAAAATTGTGCATTGATGAACACGACTGCAAAAGCAGGCCCTGAAATGGAGTCTGTGCACAGTAGAGGGTGTCCCTGGTTACATGGTGGGCATCCTGATACCCCTGGTTATGTTTTGTAAAATGTTTTATATATCACCAAAGAGAAAATCGAAATTAGAACTGCTAAGCCCCTGAGAATGTGTCCATGTACCTCAGTTTGATAAATACTGCATGGGATGGACATTGTAAAACACTTATCTGTGGACAATATTGTGTAAGTGCCAGGCTCTTTAGCTTTAGGTACAAATGTTAGAGCAAAGATTGGGCACATAGAGGTGAGCAGGGACAATCTTTTTTCTGCCCTTCAGCTCAGTTCACTCTGATACTGTTGAAATATTAGGTCTTTATTACACAGATATAGTATGAAAACTCTAAAACTTATTAACTATATAAACCAAACGGTGTATTCAGGACTGGGAGCCAGGTTGTAGAAGGGACTCCAAACCATGTCACAAAAAGCACAGGCAAAGGTTCTGGGGTCCTTGGCCTGGGGAAGACCAATAAGAATAGGAAGATTCTGGTTCTAGTTTTCAAATATGTGAAGTGCTGACAATGGAAGAGCAGCAGGTCTTGTATCACAACCAGTGGGTAGAAGATGTAGACTTTAGCTTAGCACGGAGAAGCCCTTCCTCATGCATAGAATTGCCATGAACAGAACAGGCTGCTGTGGGAAGGTTGGGAACAGCTTGTCTCAGAGGCTGTTCAGTGGTCCCCATCAATGACTTTTTGGGATGCGCCAGAGGGTTTCCATCCATAAAAACCTGTCTACGAGGCCTCTTTGTATGCAGAAATTCCTGTTTTGGGACACTCTCAGCTTTTTCTCTTGTGAATTTCCAAGAATTCTCCAAAGCAAGGATGTTTGGCTTTATTTTAAACAATTCTAAAATGAAACATTGCATAGTAGGTGCTCAAACATGTTACCACCCCTATTTCTCGCCTTGTTACTGGTGTCCAGTTCCCGCTGCTCTCTGCTTAGAAACAAGACTCATCAGTCCCAAATGTTGGTGCGAAGCAGGAAGTTTATTATCAGACGTCTGAGGGGATGGACTAGACTGTCTCCTGCTTTAGGGTTTCAAGGGGGTTTAAAGAGGAGCTGAGGGAATGGAACGTGGGAAATGACAAGCAGGAGGGAGGGGGACATGCAAGGGGCCAGGTGCAGGCTCTCCAAGACTCGTCTGGTTTCTGCTCCTAGCCTTGTTATCTCATGTCTTGCCGGAGGTCAGCATAGCTTTATTGGTGTCTTCCTTGGTTTCCTTTAGATAGTACGTGCAAGTCTGCAACTCCAAGCTGACTGGAAAACAACTTTACATTCATGTAAATAATGTCATCTTGCCCCATAACCAAGGTTCAAAATATCAAACAACCATGGGAAAAGAGGGAACTCAGGGAAATGCATGCCAAGAAAAAAAACCCGTGTCCTTTTAGAATCTTTTAGAGCCCATGCAGTTTTAGGTCCCACCATGTCTTCAGTCCTGCTCACTCCAGCACCTTCTACCCTCAAACTGCTTCTCTCACCTTCCTTACTGCCGTTCATCCAGCTTTCCAGATCTGCCACTTGACATGTGCGCTTCAAATGTCTGTATTGCTCCTGTGCCTTTCTCTTTCCTTTGCAGCCCTCACTCCCATTTGGACGAATAGCACCCTGCTGCGTTTCCTGCCGGTCTCCTGCTCCCCGTGCCAAGCCTCTTTAATCCACTTCTGCAAGAGGACCACTCCCCAAATGCTGTAGCCATAGAACTGTTCTTCACCTCACATCTATTCATACCCTGGGGAACGTGCTGCATTCAACACACTGGGAAAGGCTGCTCTAAACCGCTCTGCATATGCCTTGTTCATTCTTGTCTCCATTTCTTGGTTTATACAGTTTATCTCCCATCCTCAGAGCCAGCCAGCCAAACATGTACGAGCCCACACATGTACACTCGCCTGAGAGGCCTCCCCTCTTCATGTACTTATTTATAAGTCCTCTTTCTCCCTTCACTGAACTCCTTTTGTGGTCAAAAGCAGCGCGTGTCAACATTTTCTTATTCTCTTTGAGCTCGTCACCACTTGGAAGGATTGTGCTTATTTATTTGTTTATGTATTGATTGTCCCCTCACTATGTATTGATTGTCCCCTCACTCCCCGCCCCTGCATCCCCCTTCTCTAAATCCAAGATGGTGAGAACTTCCCCGGTTCACCAGTACCAGCAGTTATAACCCCGCCTGGGGCAGAGAACCATCCAGCAAAGTATTTGTGGAATGAATGTTTATGTATCTGTCTTCCTAATTTGACTGTGAGTTGGGAGCAGGAACCAGGTCATAGCCTGTGTCTGAAATTTGAGAATGATTTCTGGCTGGAGCCTGTGGGCTCTAGTACCTGTCATTATCTGGAATGCCATAATTCAGAGGTGTCTCAGCCTTGGTGGGATTGGGCCTCAAGGGTCTTAATTGCAACCAGTCTCATTGGATTTGTTTTGACTGGAAATCCTATTGCCTGTTTTAAAAATATATTCCCCTGGGCGCTTTTGAACACTTGAGACCTCTTGGCAGGCAGGCGTTTTATCCCCATCAGGAAATCTCATCAAAATGATACTAGGTTTGCGCATCAGGAAAATAAAAATCCTCCGAGAAGATGTTGCTGTTCTCTAGATGGGCTTTGGATGTAAGCATTGAAGCCCCCTCAGATGGGATTTCAACCACATCTGAGATATTGACCCAGGGCCGGGTGGCAGAGTCTCACAATAAATAATAAATTAAAAAATAAGGGTGGGAAGGACACCTCCACGAGGCATTTCTGTAGTTAAAAGCCAAAGCAAAATTCACACTTAGAGTAAGATGCTGGTTTTTGGTATGAGGCTTTCATTTCACAGGGCTGAGGGGTAACCTGGCGTGCTGGCTAGGCTGTGACTGCTGCTCCCACGTGGGGTCTTTGTACTTGTTTGTCTGGCCTCTTCCGGGTTCGACCTTGTAAATCATACCTGAAAAAAATCACATAATGGCAGGACTGCTCTTACTGGAGGTTCCTAACATCTCCCAGGTGTTTTTCACACAGTTTGGTCTGGATTTCCTTGCTGTTGACGTCTTCCTGCTAGACCATTTGGAGAGAAGAGAGGGATGTGGTTTCCCCTCCTCTGGAGGTAGCTCCTGACGCTCTCTAAACTCCTGCTGATCTCCGCAGGCCGTTGTCTGGGTCTTCTGGACCAGTGCTGTCACTCAGGGTTTTCACTCAAGGCTTTGATGTGGTGCTAAGGGATCTAGAATTGTCTCTGTTGAGGTTGACGTGAAAGCAGCAGTGTGAAGTTTCAGCTAAGCCCGTGCTCTCCTTGTCCTCTCCCCTCCCTGGGGCCTCATTCTGGTCTCATGCTTTGGTGTCTCTCTTTTCAGAGGCGTGAACATGTATGCCATGTTGACCGGGACCCTGCCGTTCACAGTGGAGCCTTTCAGCCTGAGGGCCCTGTACCAGAAGATGGTGGACAAAGACATGAACCCCATCCCCACCCAGCTGTCCACAGGTAAAGCACCTGCTGCTCTGGATTCAGGCTTGCATTTCAGGACTGTTGTTCTGACTGGTTGGGGTCCTTTGGTGAAGTAATACTTGTTTTGCAGCAATGGTATTATAACTATTTCCTGATTGTAAGTTTCTTCCTAGTGTTAAAACTAAGTCTCAAGAAGTGATGGGGTTTCCCATCTCTAAGCAGCAGCCTCCTGCGTCTCACCTGTATCCTTTCCTTTTCTGTTATAATTCCGAACTCTGAACTTCCTCCTTCTGCACAAAACACACGTATCAAAAGGATCTTATATTCCCCATTTGAAAAATAATTGCAGGCCTGATTGTTTTAAAACTCACCCTATTATAATGTTGACTTGGAAGAGAGGGTTTGTAATCACATTTCTATTATGTCTTCTTTAGTCAATCCACTGTAAAGAAATATTAGTTTCACTCAAGTTGAGCCTGTAATTTGTTTTGTTATGAGTTTTTGAGCATGTTCAAAAGCTTTAAAAAATGTATAGATTCAGTTACTTCATTCAGACTGAGTCATGAGGTGTGTTTGAAAAGTATTTTCAAACTTCAGCTGGTTCATGTTTCAGTAAAATGTTTGTATTAGGGTTTGGTTTCAGATGCTGTAAATCAGTACAGTTTGTTCTTTGGTTTGGTTCACAATTCACTTCAAGGTCCTGGCTTTTGACGATCATTTAATTGGCTCCTTAGAATGAACTCAGCTTCACTGAGATAAGCTTTTGACAAAAAAATATATATATATATATATATTTAACTTTAACTTATGATACATGGCTAAAATATAGCATTTTACTTTACTATTGTTATGTATCTTTCTCTTGAGTTTATAAAGCATTCATGAAGCTAACCCTGAATTTATGCCTGCCCAATGGAATTCAAGCTAAAAGTCATTCTTGGATGTAATTGTCTAATTCAGCCCAAACATTCACCTTTGTTAGAGAGGGTAGAATCTCTGGAGGCTGAAAGTGAGGGAGGTGTTGTTTTAATTAATTAATTAATTAGGAAGATAAGTTTAGTTCTGTCACTGTAAAAGAAATATTTCCACACTGAGAGCCATAACTCTTCGAGTTAGAAAATGCAAAATTTTGAACGAATTGTTAGATTTAGGTTTTAGAGCTTTCAGAAATGTTGAAAGTGCTGCACATCACTATGGGGAGTACTCATTCATTCATTTATTCCATATTTCATATTCATTAATGTCATGAATATGTATTGTGTACCAGTTATGTTCTAGGTGTCTTCTAGGTGTCAGGAAGACAGAAAACAAGTTAGACCCAATCTCTACCCTTATAAAGCTTATATATCAGTGAGGGAGACAAAAAATAAATGGATAAATAAGTATGTGTGATATTTGATAGTGTAAGTGCTCTAAAGAAAATAAAATAAATTAGTATAAGAGGATGGGGAGTAAGGATAGTTTGTTTTTTTATAACAAATAAGATTTTTAAAAAACTTTTTATTGTGGTATAATTGTAGATTGACATGCAGTTAGAAGAAATAACAGAGAGAGAGCCATATATTCTTTAACTAGTTTCCCCCAATGATGATATCTTATATACCTGTAATATAATATCACCACCAGGAAATTAACACTGATAAGGTCTATTGACCTTATTCTGCTTTTATCATACATGTAAGTTTGTGTGACTGCTACCACAATCATGGTATGGTACAGTTTCATCACAAGGATCCCTCGGGCTACTCTTCTACAGCCACGGCCACCTCCCTTCCTCCTATTCTCCCTGACCCTTGGCAACCACTACCCTGTTCTCTATCTCTATAATTGTGTCATTACAAAAAATGCTACTTATATAAATGACTTTTCTCACTCAGCATAATTCCCTTGAGATCCAACCACATTGTTGCATGCATTGGGACTTGGTTTCTTTTTATTGCTGTGTTATATTCCCTGGTATGGATATACCATACCAAACATAGACTGTTTACCCATTCACACATTGAGGGACCATTGGGTTGTTTGCAGTTTGGAGCTATTATAAATAAAGCTGCTGCAAACATTTATGTACAGGTTTTTGTGTGAACATAGTTTTTTTCTTTGGGACAAATGCTTGAGAGTGAGATTGCTGGGTTGGATAGTAAGAATGGATTTATTTTTATAAGAAACTGCCACACTCTTGTTCACAGTGACATACCATTTTGCATTCCCATGAGCAGTGGGTGACTGATCCAGTTTCTCTGCATCCTTGCCAGCATTTGATGCTATGAATAGTTTTTATTTTAGTCATACTGATGGGGGATCTAATGATATCTCATTGTAGTAAGAAATAAGATTTAATGTTTACAATTAAATGCAATCTTTCTAAGCAGTTATATAGTTATATAGTTAAGCGTTATATAGTCATAAAGATTGCCATCTGTCAGAGTGATTCTGAAGTTCTTCTGATGGTTCAGAGCCTGTTTTGTCTTAAGAGACCCATAACAAAGTACAATAGAAAGATGTTTGTATCCCCATGCTTGGGATGAGCAGACAGGGCTTGCTCTCTGTCCCAACAACACCCTGAGAAACTGAAGAACTGCTGATCTGCTGTCTTCTCATGTATTAGTCAGGATAAGCCAGGTTATGCTGCAGTAACAATCAGCCCCAAATCTCAGTGGCTGGAAACCACAAAGGTTTATTTCTCATTCATGCTACATATTTATTGAGAGTTGGATCAAGGATTGAGAGGTGCTGCCCATCCCAGGATCCCAGGCTGATGGATAAGCCACCATTTCCAATATTACTGCCTCATGCAGAGGGAAAGAGAGAAAGAGAAAGAGAAGGGCTCTCAACAGCAGTTGAATTTCCCAGCAACATGTCATGTCCACTCATAAATCCTAGCTTTCTAAAACATAGCACGTGGCTTCACTCTACTAAAGCAGATGGGGCGGTGCAACTCTACCAAGCGTGCTGCAGGTAGAAAGCCAGAAGTGTTTGTTGAACAGTATTCATATGGGCCACACACAGGCTGCGTGCAGAGGAGCAGACAATTCAGCCTGCTTTCATCATGGGATGTTTGGGCAGCCAGGCAAGGGCACACAGGCGAATCAGTCTCATTTCCTCAGAACCATATCTTGTTTTTACTCCCAGTATTACCCAGCATTAGTAGGATGGGCTGTCTGTGTTTTTTGATTATGAAAATTAAATTTACCCTTAGAGAAGTCAAAGTTGCACCTCTGAAGGTGTTAAAGAAAAAAGTCCAAAAGTAATTCCAAAGAAGAAATACTAAAAACATTCCAGCCAGTTTCAGCATCACTGCAGTTGCTGTCTGACCTCATGGAGCCCTGTTTTGAGCAGACAGCTTTCACTTTGGCCTTCAGCTCTGTGTGTGCTTGTCAAAGATCTCCACATTCCTACAGGGCTGTGTTGCCACAACTTGTCCAGCAGGAATTGCATTTCTGTATCTGATTTTTCCAATTAAGGAATCTGGCGCTCTCCCCCGCCCCTCTTTTTTTTACTATTGGCATATTTATATATCTCTCCTCAACTAGGGCTTTAATCCTTTGTACCAAGCATAGCATTTGCACGTGATAGATGCTCAGGGAATCTAGGTTGCCATCTCCGGTGTGAAAGTGCATGTGGAGCAGTCAATGGGTCCAGCCCTGGACTCCTTGACTGCTCAGGGTTGGGAGTTGGCCTGATGCTATAGGCTCAAAGAAGAGCCCCCAGCTGCCGAGGTAGCCCAGGGCATCTTATCTTGTCTGTAGAGGGAATGGCTTTGGGTTTGGGGATTAGCTGCTGCCCTTCTGACAGCCGTGTTTTTTCCAGTGATTTGTCCTTTGCACCCCACCAGTTTATCTCTTCTCCCTTCCGACCACCTGGCCCACCTTTATTTATGATACTTTATGAGATCATCCACTTATGTTCAGAAATACTAGTTTACCAGTAACAAGAGTAGCTGCCATTTACTGAAGGACCATGTGTAGGTGCTGTTCATGTTATCTTGTTTTCACATGACCCTGCAAGGTAAGTACTATGACTCCCAATTTATCAGTGAGGACACGGAGTCTCAGGGGGACTAAGTCCACTTGATTGAAAACCTGGATTTTTCTACCATTAGTACTGCCTCTCTCCCTTTCCTTACTTTATTTAGTATAAAATTTCCCCCATCCCCAGATTTGAGGGTATTATGTGTTGTCTTAATGTCCTTATGTTTTGAGTACTGTCAATCTAAATTGAAAACATGCCAATTTTATTGTCTCACTAACACACATCTTTATTAATTTAATGATTCCATCACTCGTATTCATAATGATCACATCTAGTATATTCCAGTGCTCTTTTTTAGATTTAGTTGGAAGTGTTTTGACCAAATTTGAGTTGAAAACACAATGTTATTGGCCTTGTGCGTCCAGAGAGCATGTTCTGAAGCATGGCCCACATCTCAATCATGGGCTTTGAGAACTGAAGCTTCGGAGGCCTTCCCAGTTCTCTCTTCTAGGCAGTTTCTCTTTCTGCTTGTTGGCACTTGTATACCACGGAGGGGTGAATGCCTTTTGTGGCTTAGGAATTTTCAGACGGTTTTCCTTTTCATTGTTACACTGCAATGATAGCTTTTATAATACAGTCCAAACAGTCGCTTCACATCACAAGGGTTTTGTGCCACAAATTCACCAAAGTGAAGCTGGAGAAGAGGTGCTATCATCTGTGAGGGTTGAACCAGTGCTAATTTGGATTTCTGAGAAGGCGCAACCATCAGACTCTCAGGTCATTCTTTAGTCTGGGAGGTGAGGAGGACTCAGCTCTGGATGGAGACAGGGCCCCGCCTGCACCTAACATGCAGCGCTAAGGTGAAGGGTCCAGTGGCATCGTCAGTTGCCTGTGCAGCTCTTTCCTTGGCAAAGTGTCCTGATGCTCACACAAGCCAGTCCAGTCTTTGGAAAGCTGACAGCCCTTGAAGGAAAGTGGGTTTTGAACACTGTGTGGTTCATCTTACCTCTCTAGGATGGAACAGAGAACCCAAGTGTTAGATCAGGGGGCGTGGAGGGTGATGTGTGGCCATGCCCAGCACGGCTTGCCAGGACGGCAGCAGATATTTTAATCCCCTTTGCTCTGGAGCCATAGGGATTTTCAAGACCCTAACACAAACTTCAAAGAGCTCTAAGGATGTTCTCAAAGTCCTCTTTGAAGAGTAATACAATGTTTCTGACATCCAAAGAAACAAAATTTGTCAGTAGAGATTTGAACCAAATTACTTGGGCTCATCAGCGATTTATGAAGATGCAGAGTGCTCGGTTATGAAAATAGAACAAAGATGCATCCGGTGTCCTTAGCTCTTCTGGTTGATCACACTCTGAGAAAGCCTGGCAGTAGCTTGGGTGGTTGTGTGCATCCAGTGAGGGTAAGCAGAAGAGACGTCTCAGAAGGCATCATTGACTCCACAGCCTCCTGGTTCAATTCATTAAGCACACATGTTTATTCTTTAATCAATAGATGCTCACGGTTCTTGCATTGTGGGGGGAGTTGAGGGAAGGGACATAGATTCCAGAAAGATCCTCTTTTTCTGAAGATCTGTTTGCTTTTCAGACTATTGGAGTACATTTTAGGAACATTTTATTTGGGAACCCAGATATAAAACTTACAGTATTAAATGCACCTCATGACTTTTAAGGCACCTATACATATATTTTTACCCACTACATTCTTAAGGGGACATGACCTGGTGACCTCATCAACTGCAGCACGGGAACCCACCCTGGAGGAGTGACCTGGTGGCATGGCCTAGCATGGTTTGTTTCTCTTGAGTGGATTCTAGCATCTCAACTGGCCCCTTTTTGATGGCCTTGTTTCTACCCTGCAGAAAGTGGATTGACGGAAGGCCCATCATTCTTTTAAGAATAGTGTTAAAATGACAACTTAAAGCCTAGGAGAAAATGAAAAATTTTATGACTTTTTCTCGCAAAGCTAGATTATTTTAGAAAACTGAAAAATAGCTTTGGAGAGGATAGAAAAATTTGAGGACCAAGCAAATTAAGATTATTTTGGGGATTTATTGGTTTGTTGGAAATTGGGTATTATGTACATAGAAGAATATTTTTTCAATTTGCAAAGACGTTTTGACAATGCTCCATAAAATAAAGAGTATAGAATAGGAAAATATCATAGTCCCACAACACAAACAAGACAGACCATGTTCATTTTGCACTAATCCCTGGCATTCTTTGTCCATATGTGGACATGCTGCATATTCTCCTGCTGAGCAATCTTGTAGTCTGTGGCCTTCATGCACATTAGAAACATTTTGACATGTTGTGCTTTTGTCTCCATTGTTATAATATTAAAGAATGCACATCTGTTTTGAGATAAACTACCTTCTTATCTCTAGTGCTTGGCTGGGCAGCAGGTGCTCTGTAAATGTTTATTTAGTGAAAGGAGACCCAGGGCACTTAAAAAAAATTACATTTGCCTGGGATGGAAGGATAAAGGGTTGTAGGAATTTTATAGTTTTGTCAACGGTTTCTCGTATCATTTCCTTACACACCGTGCTCAACATAACTGATATGACTGTAGCGAACTTTGGCAGGCTGAAAAATAAGGACAAACTTTATTTGTGTACAGTCTGACCAAGTGACCCCGGTATTTTGAGGGATAGCACAAAGCAGGAGGCTCAGCAGGTAGAGGTGGGTATGCAGTGTGGTGCTCTGCTGGAACTTTGTACATGAACTAGGATTTTAAAACTTCCAGTGTTTACTGAACTGTAACAAAAGCGTGTGGCTGTCTGGTGTCGTGTTGGCCTGATTGGCTGGGCAAGGTGTGCAGGGGCTCTGTCTGGCCTGAGTACTGTATCATTAGCTCACAGAGTTTGGGGAAAAAGTGGGCAGCCAGAGACAATGACTTTAAAAGAAAGGACCAGGAAGCAGGACCTTCTTGGCCTCCTGAGACTCTTGCTGTTCCATGGTCCCAAGATAGAGGGTCTAATTTAGAATGCCTTTACCCTTCTGGCTTCTGAGTGCTCAGAAGCCTACCTTGAGAACAGGCATTTTCTGTTTACTTTCTTTCATCCCTTCAAGCCTGTAAATAGAACATTTCTTTGGCTCAGCTCTGAGCAGCGAGAAGAGCCCACAGGTTGCATTGGGAAGTATGGGGCATGGAGAGATCTGGACTGGTTCTTGCTTTATCATGTACCAGCTGCATCCCTTGGACAAATACCTGAAACGCTTTGGATTTGTGGCACCTCATTTTAAAAAGAGGGAGAAGGAAATGGGACTTAAAAAACCCCACCTGTCTGAAGGGAGGTGGAGCTGAACCTCTTCTCTGCAAGTCATTGAATCAAAACTCTGCCCCAGCAGTGGCTCAGGTGGGGCAGGTGAGGCAGCAGGTCACCTGACATGGCTCTCAGTGGCATCTGTGATCAGCCTGTTCTTTGCTGACTGTCTTCCAGGAGCCATCAACTTCCTACGCTCTCTCCTGGAACCAGATCCCGTGAAGAGGCCAAACATTCAGCAAGCACTGGCCAATCGCTGGCTCAATGAGAATTACACCGGCAAAGTGCCCTGCAATGTCACCTATCCCAACAGGTAATTTAGCACACACAGAGGGACTCCTTCTTGGGCAAGATGGGGCCTGTCCTCTAAGCCCTTAATAGTTCTGGACAGGAAGCTGTACAGGGTTCAAGGAAAAGCTGCCTTTTCTCTTGGCTGGCCTTCCCCCCCTCCCCCATCCACAGACAAGCCAGTCTCAGTGCTCAGGAGGAAGTAGAGACGGGCCAGTCCACGCGGTTGTGCAAAGTGTGCCCGCGGGGGTGCCTGGCAGAGGGGGAGCAGAGGCTGAAATCCTGGCCACGTTCCCATTGCCAAGCCTCACTTGGAGGGGCTTCCCCAAGGGGTGCCTCTTTCTAGTTCACACAAAGGGACCACTTAGAAGACCTGTGGCCCATGTGGGAGTGTGTGTTTGTGTCTGCGCATGTGTGTCTGTGCGTGAGCATGTTTGCGAGTGTGTCTGGGTGTGTGCATCTGTGTGTGTGTGATCTGCCCTTGAGCTCACCTGACAGCATCAGGCAGAATCCCGTGGAATTGCCCCTCTCTGCTTTCAAGCCAGTCCTTAGACGACTCTTCTGCTACTTTGTTCTTGATGTTTACTTCAGCCCTAAGTCCCCTGCCTTAATGTGTTGGGGCTAGAAAGAAAAGGCAGTGGGGATCCTTCATTTAAGGCCGGGTTTCCGTTGGGCTTGAAGGAGGGCTCACAGATCGAAGTCCACAGCAGAGGAACACTGACTGGCCCCTCGTGGTGGCCCCTTTCTCCATGCCGGGACACTGGCTGCAGACTTGAAAACACGGACAAGAAACCATTGCCTTGTACTTTTTCTCTGTTTACTTGGCACATTGCTAGCCAAGATGAGTGGGGGAATGAGGGTGCTCACCTTGGCTACTTTAGAGCAAACATGGAGATTGCATGGGTCCAACACCTTCTGGGATTGGGACCCCACCTTCCTTCTTCCTTCTGATGCAGGGTGGCCTGCACATTTGACCAAGCTTGAATGAGGGCAGGAGAACTGCTGATCAAGGGGGACAGATGGGGAACCAAAAAGGCAGGAAAAGGGGTATCCTTTTGGTATTTTCAGAATGCTCAGGAAGGTCTGGAAACATCCACCAAGGCTTATGAAAGATGAAGCACTGAGTTCTCCAAACAAGATGGGCAGGCAGGGCTCTGTCTTGGGATGGAAGTTCTAAAAGAGCTTAAGGGGGCATGGCAGCCTACATCCAGGAGACTGGGTGAAATTTATGCTTGCCCTGGCCATACAGGAGGTGGTTTCACTCAGTTGCCATCTAGAATTCTAGCATTTGGCTCAGGGGAGGTAATTTAAACAAAGTCTAGGTTACTTAGGTTACCAAGGGAACCTGGAAATAGATTGCTCTTTTCCAACACCAGCTTGATTCGGGCCAGTTTCTGAAACAGACAACAGAAACATTACCCCAACGTGGGACAGAAAGCAAAGCTGGAGGCCCATGCCTCATTATTGATGCTCATAATGGGTAGCGGCACACAGGTATGCTCTCTGTTAAAGGAGGGGACATTGGTGGCAGCCAAATGCATCATTAAGCTAATGTAATCACCGTCTAAATGAGCATAATCAATCCACTCAGCACGGCAGCTGTTGAAGTAAGCAGAGCTGGGATTAGCAGTACAGGGCTCCCCTCCTTGTTGGCTACATCTTCATTCCCAAAGAATCATGATGTGGCATCTTATTTTGTAGCTTTTCCATAGCAGGTTGAAGGCAGGCTTTGGTAGATTAAAACTTAATTCAAGCTCCTATGCTGGTGTTGCTAGATTAATTATTTTTGCATTTGGACTTGGTCAGAAGCATAAGGGCTGTACATGCAACTAGTTAGGTGGGTTGTAAAAATGCTTAAGATCTTGTATATCAAAGAAAACGGCAGCTCAGTGTCTCCTGTTTATGTAAGGCTCATTACTCATTTATACTTGAGTTCAGTTTTTGAGTAATGAAACCAGAATTCTAAACTGTTGAGGGAGGTACATGTTATTTACAATCTTTATTTAGAAAAACACCTATCTTTAAAGGAAAAGGAAGTATTTTTGATCATTATTTTTCTAGTTATACCAATGCATAGATAAAAGGAGCAAGAACATGTAACCAGAGAAAGGAGTCTTTTCTTTATGTAGTCTCCCAGTATACCTAGCTGCAGATTTAATTATTTTAGATGTTGTCAATGTTTTCCTTTTGGGAAAGTAAAGGAAATAAAGGTCCCATGTTTTACATCACTCTTTTGTAAAACCATCTCCTGTGAAGTCATTTGGCCCTCCAGGTTGGTCTCCAAAAGGCAAGAGGAAAATGTCCTTAAATGTAAATGTTTTATAGTAAATGTTCATGCCAGTAAGTCAACAGATGTTTGCTGTATGCCCAGCTCACCTCCCTGATCTGGGTGCAGACATTTTTACAGATGACCTTGCTGCTGCTTCCTGTCTCCCTGCATGTGCCTGGACAGGCTCTCCACCCCCCAGTTAGTCTGGAGATGGGTAGAAGGAAAAGGAGGTCAGGGTAATATAGAACAGAATTAGACCGAAGTGGTATAAAAACAGATTTAAAGCGAATTTACTTAGTTCAAATTAAACCCAACATTCTGGAATATTTTACCATTCTCTGTATCATTCAAACATGCAGAGATAATACAAATTCAATAACTGATGTTGGAGAGCACCAAATATATGCATTGTTTATTAGAAAACATTTAAAATATTGCTCTTAGTCAAGAGGCAGTTGACAGTGTGCATTTTGATTTTTAAGACAATGGATTGAAAGGACAGAGCTAGGATGTCTGCCCCTGCGCACGTCCCTCCGCTCACCTCTACCGTGCAGCCCTTTCTCGGTGGCACTGCGAACCCTATGGGGCACCTGCTCTCAGGGCGGGGACTTGCAAATGTGGCTGTGGTCTGATTGGCCAGGGGTAGGGCCAAAGGTGACATCTCATTGGCCATGGTCATCTCATTGGCCACACCCATGCTGGAATTACCAGCTACAGTCTTCCCTGGTATGCCCAAGGGACTGTTTGCAGGACTGTCCATGGGTTCTACATTGATGGATTCAGCCAACTGAGGACCAAATCTAGGGGAGGGAGAGCTGATGTAGGTTACACCCACCGGTGGTGGATGACGGGCAGTCCTAGTTCTGCTCTTGGTACCCCTTCCAACTGGCTGGGTGTACTGGGCAAGTCAGTCTCTTCCTTACAATTAGGAGGTTAGACCATGAGGTTTCTTCGGGCATTAATAGTACTGAGGTTCCTTCAGAAATGTCTCCAGACTCTTTGGCAGAGGCCACAGAGCTCTCCGGCCAGATGGGCTTGCCTTCTGCTCACAGAGTGCCCTATTTGTATCTCGAGGCACTTAGAATGTCCTGATGGCGCACTCCCACTACCAAGACACGCACTCCCTAAAACCCTCAATCTGATTTCTCCCTCTCTATAGCCAGGTGACATGTCTATTGAGAGGCTGCCAGTGTAGAGGTTTAGCATCTTGATTCTTAGCAAGGCTGTCTGGGTTTTAATTGTGGGGATGCTAATTCCTGCCTGTGTGGCTCTGGGCAAGTTACTCCATGGCCGTGGCCTTCAGTTTCTTCATCTGTAAAACAGGGATAATGATAGTACCTATTCATAGGACAATCAGGAGGACGAAGTGGACTTAAATTCTCTCTTCCCCACTGGAATGTAGGCTCTGTGAGGCAGGGATTTGGTGGGGGAATGAGTGAATAAGTAAATGAATGTATTTCTTTGGCCTTTTATCCCAAGGAGTTTATCTTCATAATATCACTGTGAAGAAGCTTTAACTTATCTTCCTCTGAGAGCACCCCACTTTACAGCTGAGCCCCAGACTCCCAGTGTGTGAGCTTGTGAGCTCTCGCTGTTCTTCTAAACATGGTCTGAGTAGTTCCTGAATACCTTCTTTTTCCAACCCAAGACTGCATTAAGTGCAGGCTCTGCCCTTGGCAACTAATGCATTTTAGAGAAAGAATGTCTCATTGTAAAGCAATTTGGGGGACAGTTGGGGAATTCGAATATGATCTAGGTATAAGATAATATTAAGAGATTATTAAAATTTAATTAGGAGTGTTGATGGTATTGTCATTCTGTGGATGTCCTTGGGTTTTAAAGATGCACACTGAAGGGTTCAGGAGTGAACTGTCACAATGTCTGTAATTTAATATACTTAGCAAATAAATAGATAGATAGATAGATAGATAGAGAGAGAGAGAGAGAGAGAGAGAAAGAAAGAAAGATAGAAAGAAAGAACGAGAAAGAAAGAGAAAGAAAGAAAGCAAATATGGCAAAGTGTTAATGGTGTATCCAGGGGATGGTATACATAAGGTAATTATACTATTTTCTCTATTTTTCCATATACATGCAATTTTTCATAATAAAAAGTCAAGTGAATGAATGAATGAGTGAATGAATGGACCTGATTGTCCACAGGGGGCCCGTGTGGGCCCTCTTGTGAGCCCCGCTGTGGAGGTAGAGAGGTGACTGGTTCTCGCCTCCACCTCACAGGATTTCTCTTGAAGACCTGAGCCCGAGCGTGGTGCTGCACATGACCGAGAAGCTGGGCTACAAGAACAGTGACGTGATCAACACTGTCCTCTCCAACCGCGCCTGCCACGTCCTTGCCATCTACTTCCTCCTGAACAAGAAACTCGAGCGCTACTTGTCAGGGGTAAGTGGACACTCGAGGTGGTTTTCTCTGCTCTCTGCAGAAAAAAGATGTCTTACACCCAAGTGTTTCCCAATTGCTGACACCTGAACCATCGGCTAATTTAACCTATTATAAGGCTGAGTTTCCTGAATGTGGATCAAGTGGTAGCAAAACATGCCTCACAGGTAGTGCTTTTCACTGGAGGTGCTTTTTCAGATATCCTCCCACAGTGGTAAGCTCTGGGCAGAACTGTGAGAAAAGCTTTGTTTTCCTTCAGCTTCTCTGTTGCCTTTTTTGTTTGGCTACCTCTTAGCTCTTTGGGTTACCCCACGTTAGTGGCATTAAGGACTTCTCTGGTCATGACATTTGGGAAGCAGTGCCTGTGGAACATTTGTCTCCAAAGTATGGCATATGTGAAAGCCAGTATTTACATTTGCTTCTCCAGAAAACGAACGAAATTGAGCTTCACTGGCTTGGCACCTCCTGTGTCATGTATGAGGTTCAGTTGGGAGTCCTGTAGGGTGGGGTGGATAGTGGTACCCTGACACCTGGGTCCCCTTAATTGTTTTTGCCGCAAGCCATTCATATGTGCCTGGGTAAGGGGATTTACATGCTTTTTTATCTAGTTTTGACTAAATCATCTCTCTCCAAATGAACAATGGCTTGAAAAGGATTCTGCAGAGAAAGCTGGATCCAAGACAGTATGGATTCTGCATCTAACTACTCCTACTTCGATTAAAAGTGGTGGGTGCTGACCATATCTAACAGGAAGGCAGCCAGAGAAATTCAGAATTGTCAGGAAGCCCATCAGAAATGTGGCTGAGTGTCCACTTCCAGGAAAGATGACCTTCATCCCGTGTGTGTCACACCTTGAGACCCGATGGTGTGTAGCTGCCGTGGTTGGGAAGACATTTAGAATCCAGAACGTGAGGACAAACTTCTAGAGTTTTTTCAGTGCTGTTTTCAACCATGTGATAGCCCAGTACAGTGCAAAATTCCACCAAACACTAGGCTTAGAAACCTCTTTTGATGTTTACATATTAAAGCAAAAGATGAAAACCCACCTGCAGTTGGGGAAATGATATTCTCCCTGCCATGGCAGAAATGCCTAAAAAAATGCCCAGAAGACAAGATGGTCAGTGTGTGTTTCTTGTTAGCAAATAGACTTGGGAGACATCTAGAAAACATTGCTGAATATATGAAGAAGCTCTACGGGAGGTTTGTCCAACAGTTGGATGAAAGTACAGATGTTTCTAAGCTGACTCAGCTCAGGATATTTGTTAGACTTGGCTTCAGCAGAAACTTATTCACAGAACTACTTTTTTTTTTTCTGATGAACCACCAAAGGAAAGATGTACACAAGAAGAAACATTTTCAATAGTGAAAGGATTTAAAAAATAAGAATAAGTGGGCCGACCCCGTGGCGCACTTGGGAGAGTGCGGCGCTGGGAGCACAGCAGTGCTCCCGCCGCGGGTTCGGATCCTATATAGGGATGGCCGGTGCGCTCACTGGCTGAGCGCGGTGCGGCCAGTCACAAAAAAGACAAAAAAAGAAAAAAATAAATAAGAATAATGTTTTATGGGGAGAAAAAAAAATATGCTCTGTGTTGGCAGTGATGGTGGCACTTCTGATGGGGACAGATTCATAGGTTTGAGGCTAGATTTCAGAGGTAGTAAGTACCACTGTGGCTGCCTTGGTCATAGGAAGGCCTCTGCAGGAGAGATGTCAGATCCGGTAAGACAGGACTTTCAACACACAGTATATTATTTATATTATTTTATCATGTGATAAGGAGGGATTAAGAAACTCTCATACCACATAGTGGTTCTCTGTTATCTCATCATGAGGAACTTAAAAGACATATTGATTTTGAAGCTATTTCTCCTTTCTCTTTTAGAAGAGGACCGTATGTCCCAAATTTCTTTCTTATCCTTTTTAATTGCTATTTTATTATATATTTTATAATGTATATGATATATTAGTACAGGGTACATGCTTATAATTTATAGTAATGCATATTATTGTAGGTGCATGCTTATAGATTTTTCAACCGCAAGGACTCAGGTCATACCACTTGGAGACCACCAGGCTATAGAGGATGAAAGTTAAGAATTTAAATGGTTTTCAAATACAAGGAAGAGAAGAATGTTAACACACTGATTTTCTTTTTCAAACGATGAATGCTATTTAAAAATTAGTTTTTAAAATGTGTTCATCAAACTATGCTATAAAGTCCGTGATTTCACATATTTGAAGACTGACGTTGCCACTTTCCTAAGTTAGCAGATTCAGACATTCTTCTTTTGGCAGATCTACTTTTTTGGGTGCTGACCAAGTCACACGGTAGGGTCTTAGTTTTTGAAATAGTTTCCTGTGGCTACTTACATATTTACAGATGCAAACTTTGGTTGTTCACACTCTTCTTAAACAATTACATAGCTCATCCCAAGCAAGAGAGACATTTTGTTGGGAGCTCTTTGGCTGTGTCTTGATGGGTCTGGGTGTCTTGCCATCTGCTGCATTTCTGTTCCTCTGCTTTGCCCAGCATCAGGGTTCCAAGTGTTAGAAAACCAAGTGTGGCTCTGAGAACAATCCCTGGAAACATAGCTGTGATAAAGTTCTAACCGGAAAAGGTTTTTATTTTATTGCGTTGTTTTTGCATTTAGCCCTTAAATCATAGGACACACCTGGTCTGAGAACCCATACTCTGGGCAGGTGGCTGTTTTGAACAAGAGTGAATTAATCCCCACAGACAACTGCAGCTGTCCGCTCAGCACTTTCCACACACAACTAATTAATTGCACAGAAGGCACTGTCCCAGTTATTAATCTTATCAACCAATTACTAACAACCTGGGTATAAGTTTGGAATCCAATCTAGTGAACTAAAAAGTAAAATGTTATACCTTAATTGTTATTTCTTCTCTTCTCTCTAGCTTTTCTTTTTTTAAAACCAAGAAACGTGTACTTTAAGTTGGAAAGCGTGTAAAGGCGTTCATTAACTATTCACTGGTTGATAAATTAATTAACCAGTCATTTCATTTCACCTGTCTCCTCATAGAATTGCACCTACATCATCTCAGGTGCAGTTGTCCACCTTTTTTTTTTAAGCTACATTATGAATTGCTGTGGCTTTCATATGTGTGTGTGTGTGTGTGTGTGTGTGCATGCGCGCTGTTTTAAAATAAAGCAAACAAGCAAGATCCATATCTTATTTAGTGGTTCACTAAAATAAGTTATTCTTCCCAGCTCACCTATTTGGATTCTGTGTTCATGTCTCCATTGCATAGATGAAAGAGCTGAGGCCTAGCCTGGAGCAGTGACCTGCCCAGGGTCACTGGCCCTTTGCTGTCAGACCCAGTACAGAAGCAGGTCGCCTGCCTCTGGGCCCAGGGTGCTCCTCAGCTGCATCCCGCCTGCAGGCTGTCCTGCGATGAGACTCTGCATTGCAATTTACTGGCTTGCCAACCACTTTGGGCACTCTCTTAGCCAAGCACTGGTTTAAAAATTAATGACGGCTTAATGGACATTTCTGTTTCCAGAGAGTTAAGCCAGGCTTTTTCTGTTCTCCTCTGGTAGAAATCTGACATCCAGGACAGCCTCTGCTACAAGACCCAGCTCTACCAGATAGAGAGGTGCAGGGCCACCAAAGAGCCCTATGAGGTGAGTGACTACTGGAGCAAAACCCAGGGCCTCTTAGGAAGGGTGGATTTCCATTTTGGGGGGAGAGTGGGAAGGAGACCAATTACTGTGGGACATTGAAGTAGCAAAGGACAAATACTGACTCTCTCAACTGAGCCCTTGAGAAATGGTTTACAGTGGAGCCTCCATCGCTCAGTCACTAAAGCATGGTTCTCAGCCGTGGCCGCATATGAGAATCACAGGAGTGTTTAAACATCTGAATGCCTGGGCCCCACCTCAGATCAATTACCTTGACTCTTGGGAGGCCGAATTCAAGTATCAGTATTTTTTAAAGCTCCCTTGATGATCCCAATGAGCAGCCAAGGTTGGAAAGCCATGTCAGATCTCCAAAAGGTAACACGTGGCATCAGGAGAAGAAAGTAAACTGAGGCATGGGGAAAGTTCCAGATGAAAGCACGCTTTTCTAGCCAACTGTCCTGGGTGACTTGATGAAACCCAGAATGTACCTGAGAGGAAAATACCAAGGTCTTTTGATTTTAGAATAAAAACTAGTATCCTATGGCAAATTGTCACTCATTTGGACTCCAGATACATGTTTGTAAGAGATTGTGCCTGTGAATTCCTGATCCAGGGCCAGGAGCGCAGGGGTGAGGTGTGGCCTCAGGCCTCCTCAGTCACCTCTTGTCAAGTGGGTTCTTCTTTCTCAGGGGTCTTCCTAGGAACCCACTGCCCCTTTCCCTCCAGAGGATCCCCCTGCCTCAGGAGCCTCTCTTGGGACACTCAGAAATCCCTTCATTTGAGGAAAGATCAAAAAGGGCCTTTCCTGCATGCCCAAGTGAGGAGACGGGCCTGGTCACCTTCCTCTTTCCTTTTCCGACATAAAGTTTTCATCCTGCTCCCATGTGCCACGCAGGTGGCTGTAGAAGGGTTCTTCTCCGGGGTCTTTTGGAGTGCAGGGCTGCAGTGACATGTGGGTAGCAATGTAGCACTGTGCAGTGTGCTCCGTGGTGACCACGAAAGCATGTGAGACTCCATCTGCCCGGTCCAGGGATCTTTTCCACGCAACCCTCACCCCCGAGCCATGGCCGTTGTGTGTCTGAAAGCTCCAGAACCGTGATGGGAAAAGGGGCCCCTTTTCTCAGCCAGATTCTTTTTCTCTGGCTATTACTTCACTTGGCCTGAAAACACATGGTGAACATTTAAAACATTTGTTGAAATATTTAACAATTAGGATTGAAACAGGAACACTAATGGGCAAACAGCATTTCAATTTTCTATGATCCGTTTGTTTTCTCCAAACTGCAGCAATACTTCTGCTAATTAAATTATAGCTATTACCAGATGATCCAACTTGTCTCTGTCGGGACCTAGAAAGTGGAGCAGGGCTAGTTAGGAAAAGCGTTAAGGAGGTCTGAAAGGGCCTGGACTTCACAGATTTCATTACAGTTGCCATTGGCTGGCTCAGGAGGAGAAGTGGCCGAGCTGCAGGGGTGGGGGGAGAGGGAGTGGTGGACAAAAGTTTCAGGGTGTGCACAAGCCAACTGGGTGGGGCTCAGGGTCCCTGTCCCCAAGGTACATCATAAAGTTGTGTACCTGCACTGAGTGCAAACAGTGGCCTCTGTGTTCTTCTCAATTAAAGTTCTTTTTCTCCTAGGAGATGGAGCTGAATTAAGTTGAAAAAATGTCCCTTTTGAGATTACAGTGCTGTGATTTTACGACTATACCATTTTCTCTCTCTTCTTCCAGTAAAAGACAGAGAATATATCTGTAAAAGTGGGATACATATCTCATCTGAGAACACCCGTTTGTGTGTGCCCAAGGGACTCTTCCTAAAAAAGAGACCCTTGGGGACTGTGGGGGCCAAAGTGGGGGCAGTCATCATTTTTAAACTGGCTTATTAAAGCCATATGAAGCCCAAAGCCACTTTTGTTAAAGTCTTTAATAAAAATGTTAATTTGTAGAAAAATGTAAAATAGAACTAGGAGGTCTTCTCAGCAATGGCAAAGTAATATTAGAGTTTTGGAAGAAAAGTTATGCAGTGGGTGGCGGGGGGACTGGATTACTTTGCTAGGGCTGCTGTAACAAGTACCATAAACTGGGAAGAAATTTATTTTCTCACAATTCTGGAGTCTGGAAGTTCAAGACCAAGGTGTCAATAGAGTTGGTCCCTCCCCAGGGCTATGAGGGAGAATCTGTTTGAAGCCTCTCTCCTAGCTTGCATGTCTGTGTCCAAATTTCCCCTTTTTATAAGGATACCAGTCATACCGCATTAGCTGCTCCCCATAACCTCATTTATTTATTTATTTTTAATTTTATTTTTTAAATAAAGCTTTATTTATTCATGCAAATAACTACATTGCTATGAAAATAAGAATTTTCAGTAAGAGTTTTTCAATTCTTGAGGACTCATGCTGGGAGAAAAAGAAAAATGTTATTTCTGTTTACTGAAGTACAATATACTAAATTGTTATGAGTAGTAGTTATCTTAAGAGGAAAAAGAAAGGGGTTTCTTTAAATCCAGAAAATAGAACACTAAGGAACCAGCAATGCATCAAACAAAAAAAAAAAAAACCTTGAAATGTTAATCATACTTCAGTTTACTCAGTCTGGTGGAATCAATTCCAGTGGTCTTTCTTGGTGTTGAGTTAGCAGTTTCATAGATTCACCAACTTCTCAACTAGAGTTCTGGAAATTCTTACTTGGGTGTGATCTTAAATTTATTTAACAATGTTATCTGAAGCCAGTATCCCAGAGTAACTGTCCTTTCCATGGGTCTCAGAGGTAGTCTTTTTTTGTTGAAAAACAAGCATTTTGGCCTGGAGCTGATTGCAGGTGCTGGTTGTGGCTGGGTTTGGCTTCCCCTGGCTCAATGCCTTAGGACCCCAGGGGAGCCCCAGGGTGGTGGCATCAGCGAAAAAGGCTCTTTCAGCCACTTGAGCACCTCCTGGTGTCACAATAACCTCATGTAAACTGATCACCTCTGTAAAGACCCTCTCTCCAAATAAGGTCAAATTCTGAGGCCCTGGGAGTTAAGACTTCAACATATGAATTTTGGGAGGGTACAAATCACCCCACAGCAGCACTGTAAGTTTAAAGGTAAATATTAAAATGTACACTTTGTGTCTTATTTCAAAATCTGTACAACTTTTTAAAGTTCAGAATCAGGTCAGACAATCTGTGCTGTTAGAAATCAGAACGGTAGTTGCTTTTGGGGATAGAGTGACTGGAAGAGGATGTTGGGGGGGTCTTTCAGGCGCTGGGTGGGTTCTGCTTCTTGATCTGGGTGCTGGTTCCATAGGTGATTTGGCTTTTTGAGAAAGCACATCAAGCTGCTTACGCTTCATTAGAGTACTCCTCTGGGCTGTGTCTTAGACTTTGATAAAAAATTTACCTGGAAAATCTATTCAGCACATGGGTTAGGACATCTGCCTGCTTCCACTATGATTTCAGAGTTTTGGTGGTATTTTTTTTGGTCTATAAACATTGACGTGAATAACTCAACCAGAGCTGCAGGGAAGTGGTAGAGGGTAGAGTTCAGGGATTCAATAGTGGGCGCAGCTTCTTGAATTGCTGAAAAATGCTGCTTTTTACAGGCCTCGCTGGACACCTGGACAAGAGACCTTGAATTCCATGCCGTGCAGGTAAGAACTGGGGGATTATGATGTGTTGGGGTTCTCCAGCAGAACAGAACCAATAGAGTACGTGTGTGTATGTATATGTGTGTATATATATGTATATATACCCACATACAGACATATAGGCATATATACGCATACACACATGCGCACACACACGGAGAGAGAGAGATTGAGATTTATTTTAAGGAATTGGCTCGTGATTGTGGATGCTGGCAAGTTCAAAATTTAAAGTTCAGGCCAACAGACCGGAATCCCAGGGAAGAATTGATGTTACAATTTCAAGTCCAAAGGCCACCTACTGGGAGAATTTTTTTTCCAGAAGACCTCTGATGGAGTTTGGATGTATTGTCCCCTCCAAAACTCATGTGGAAAAAAAAAATTTTTTTTCTTTTCTTTTCTGACCTGTAAGGGGATCGCAACCCTCTGCATGGTGTGGTCTGCACCACGCTCAGCCAGTGAGCACATCGGCCATCCCTATATAGTATCTGAACCAGCGGCCTCGGCACTACCAGCGCCGCACTCTCCCGAGTGAGCCACGGGGTCGGCCCCTCATGTGGAAATTTGATCCCCAATGTGGCAGTGTTGGAAACTGATTGAGTCATGGGGACGGATCCCCCATGAGTGGATTAGTGCTCTCCCTGGGGGAGGGGGGAGTAATGAGTGAGTTCTCGCTCTATTAGTTCCTGTGAGAACTGGTTGTTTAAAAGACCCTGGCACTCCCTCACTCTCTCTTGCTTCCTCTCCCATGTGATCTGCTTGTACCTGCCGGCTGCCTGCCGGCTGCCTGCCGATTTCCACCATGAGTAGAAGCAGCCTGAGGCCCATGCCAGATGCAGCTGTCCCAGAATCATAAGCCAAATAAACCTCTGTTCTTTCTACATCACCCAGTTTCAGGCAATTCTGTTATAGCAACACAAACGGACTAATACAATCTCATTCTTACTGATTGGATGTGACCCACCCACGTTATAGAGGATAATCTACTTAAAGTCTACTGATTTAAATGTTAATCACATCTAAAAAAAATACCTTCACAGCAACATCTAGTTTGGTGTTTGACTAAATGCTGGGTACCAGGGCCTGGCCAAGTTGATATCTGAAATTTACCACTATACATGATCCTGAGTGTTGGTTGAACACTGCCCAGGCTCCAGGCTGTCACACCCCTGTCCTTTTTCTGAATTAAAACATGCAGAATCTTGTCATGAGTAGGTTTTTCAGAGTCCCCTCGGATCAGAATCCCAGTGGTGCTTTCTATGTTGAGCTGACCGTTCTTTATTGTGTTGCTTTAACTACACACCTGGCTGTACATTCCTGTTTCTACCTTTCTGAGAAATGGGTTTGCAACAGTCTAGAGCTTCCTGGCTCAGTGATCTGATTTATGAACCAAGCCCTCTTTTTCTCAACTCACTTATGGTTTTTCCTGCAGCAAAATCAGGCTTTTCCTTATGTGATGGGCAGCAAGGAACCAAAACCAACCAGCCAACAGCACCTGGGCCCTGGGCCATCCTGGGTCCTAGCAGTTGGCACCTGGTTCTCATGCACCAAACAGCTGGGCAGGGCTCGCTGCTTATCAGGGGGACCCACCAAGTTCCAGAAAAGGCCGTGCTGAGCTGGAAATTATTGATAAGAGTTACTCAGAGGAAACAGGCTGTGCTGTCCTCAGCCCCTGGGGTTCCTTGGTTGCCAGATTCACCCTCCGTAGAGAGGTGGAGTTCCTGGGCAGCAGTCCTTCCCCTGGCCTGGGGTGTTGGGGAGGCCCAACAGCTTCTGTCCTTGCTAAATTGATGCGCTTGCTGTGTGCAGAATGAAGCAGGTGTGATGTGTGTTCATTTTTGCCTTCCTGTGTTGGGAAGGACCCACGCTTTGGTTACAGATGGGGAAACACTTCCCTCAGGGAGAAGTGACCTGCTCAAGGTCACCCAGCAAGTCATGGAGAGAGCCAGGAATGGATCCCACATTTCCAAACTGCCAAGCTCCAACCATGGCTGATGTCGCCTTGGGAGTTCCAGGAACCTGGAGTCACTCTCTGGTGGCCATTGTATCCCCAGTGGCATAGCTATCATGGAAGAGTCCAAGGGGAACCAGATCTCTGGAACATAATTGGTCCTTCTGAAGATCTTTTTCAGTTACATAAGGCAATTTAGCATCCTGCTCCCTGAGAAATTTATTTTGGAGAAAATAGGCCATGCAATGAAAAGGTATAAGTGGGTGATGGGTTGCATTTGGTAACGTGCTTGAAGGGCAGCAAGATCGGCTGGTTGTAAACAAACATGTTTCCTCTGGGCTGTTGACCCTTCTACATGGACTGACCCAGAGGTGTGTTCCCTGCAGGGAGTGGTTGGGGGTGAATTCTTGATTTGTCCCTAGAAACCGGTTACTGTGAAATCACTGATTCTTTTAGTCGAGAGAAAGATGTTCTGGGTGCTTTTGGAGGACACGCCAAAATGCAGGGTGCAGAATCCTGGAATTAAGTTCAGTAAGGGTGGCCTTAGCAGGGTTTCCCAGAATTTTGGTGGTGTACTTTCCCTTTCTTCTGTCCCCCATAGTGGGATTTCTGCTGGTTGCCAAATATCCCTTTGTCAGTTACAGGAGAAATTTGGTCTTATAGGCCAACCTTGGTCTCTTTCCACAGCAAGCTCTCACACCTTGTACACGTTTTGGTGCTAATGGACTTGATCTGAGTGGTGATACGGGCCCCTGGAAATTTTGCATTTTGATCCATACACTTTTAAGAAGCCAAGAGGGTTGGGAAGGATCTGAAATGAACTAGGAAAGCCATTGGCAGCTAAGTATGAGAGTCACAGAGCAGCCCAAAGGAAGGTGCGCTGATCATTTTTTTAAAAAAGACTCTATAAAGGGGTGAACTGAAATGTTGTCTTTTCTTATCAAATATTGTTTTAAAATATATGACAAAAGTGCATTAGGTTTTCTTTTTTCCTGTTTAGTTCATTAACATGTAGGACTGGTGACTTTTGCATAAAAACAGAGAGAGAGAGAGAGCTGAGCAAAAGGAAGAAATCCTGCCAGAATTTTCAGGACAAGCCAGTAACATCCCCATCGATGCTGGATGGTTGTGTGTGTGCATGTGTGTGTGCACGTGCATGTGTGTGTGTAAAAGCTTGTCCTCCTTTGCCTTAGAGCAGGTGGCCTATTACTGTTTTATGGAAACAAAGGAGAGGGAAACAGTGGAAAATTGTGATTGTCTTCTGCTGGCCTTGACCAAAGTGACCTGGAGTACACGGCCACCTTTCCCTTAGTAACATCCTGGATCCCACATCCTTGTCTGTGGCATGGATCACGCTGCAGAGCCAGCCAGCTGCTGCGTCTGGCCATTCTCTCCACCAGTAGGATCGCCTGGCCCTGCCCCAGGCTTTGAGTGAGGACTGCCAAGTCGAGGGTTAACAACACCAACTTCAGGGCTGTGAAAATCTGAGTTTCCATCTGGCTCATGGGTGAATTACATAACCACTCCAGGCTGTTTTCTCCTTTGTAAAGTGGGTAGCAGAATTTGCCTTGCAGCAGGTCATGCTCTTAGTCCAGGATCTGGCACCCTAGGGTCCCCGTCAAGGTTGGCAGTGGCTGTGAAGGTGCTGAAGAAGGAGTTTGCAGAAGTGTCAGCTCTCCTTTCTTCCTACTTCGCCCCTCCCTTGGGGATGAGCCACTTCAGCTAAGGGTCAGACCCCCAGGGAGCTATTGCCCCTCAGAGTAGCCCTCAGGGCTTGGCTCGGCATCCCATTTCTTGCCTGCTATTCTTTCCCACTCAAAAGCTGGACGTAATGAACCCTGGTGCAAAGGCTTTGAACATCCTTATTAGAAAATGCTATGAAAGTGCAAAGAGATGTTTCCTTGAGAAGCTTTTCAACAACATGAATGAAAAATAGATGAGTGCTCTTGAATTGCAAACGCTGTCAAAGTTGAAGGCAAAGATGTGAAAATCTGACTTTTTTCTGCGCCCTCAGTAAGGTCAGGAATGCGGTTCCCTCTGTCTAACAGTAAACATCAAGCAGTCTTTGGGGCTAGAACAGGAACTTCTGCTCCCACTTGTTAGTGCCCTCACCCTTCCCAGAAAGCTCCAACTCAATTAATTTTAATTCAGTTCAGTTTCCACCAGCTTTTTTTTTTTTTTAACATTTCAGTAACTATTTATTAAGCTTTTTCGAACTGTCTGGCTTTATGCCAGAGGCTGCAGGGTTGATGATATATAAAACAGTCAAAGTCACTCTCATTAGGAGGATTATAATCTACTTCCACAAAGGCAAGACTTACAGCAGAAAATGCCCACATCCCTGCGAGTTTTAAGTACACAAATAAGTGCCCCGATGACTAGAGGGTAGAAAGGGCCTGAAACCCATTCAGGACTGCCCAGGACTCTGTGGATTTGTTGCTCACGTCGTGTTGGACACCTACTTGGCTTGACTGAACATATAGGGTCTGATGTGAAGGTGGGAGTGGTTATTTTCAAATTGCCTTTGCAAAGCCATTACTACGAGCAGCTGGTAGGTTTCCAGAGTCCTGACCTGCTTCACCTTCGTTTGTTCAGCTTATTCCAGAATAATTGACCTCCTTGGGGTGGCCTTGCCTTTGCCGGGACACCTTGAAATAGCACAGGGCAAGGGAGCGGGGACAATTGAAACCCGCTTGTTATCCCTGGAGTGTTTGCCCGGCCTCAACTCTTCCCTTATTCAACACACAGTTTAGAGCATGGAGTTTTGAAAAGCTGAAGTTTCTCTAATCTACTTGGATGATTTTCAGAGAGGAACCGCATTGTATATTGTTGTGTGTATCTGAGTATGTATGTTTGCTTCTGATTTGAAGGATAAAAAGCCCAAAGAACAAGAAAAAAGAGGGGATTTTCTTCATCGACCATTTTCCAAGAAGTTGGACAAGAACCTGCCTTCGCACAAGCAGCCCTCAGCCTCGCTCATCACACAGCTCCAGAACACCAAAGCCCTTCTGAAGGACCGGAAGGCCACCAAGTCTGCCTTCCCTGACAAAGGTGGGTCAGTCTTGGGGCTCTCTCAGGCCACTCGTGTCTAGCTGCGTGTCTGCTGTGTACCCGTCGCAGGATGTCTTGGGCCTAGAACACCTGATTTCAGGCCCATGGGAAGCAGCATAAACACAGTTGAGAACAACTGAGAGCCAAATTGTGGGGTATTAGCCACCTGTGCAGGGGGGATTTGAGAAAACAGGGCACGCACCAGGTACAGAAAGAAGTTTGGATGCACAGGATTGCAGGAGCAGAGATTGGGGGACATGATATTGTGGAAACAGAGATGAGGTGTAAGGTCTTGCAGGAGTAGAGATTGGGGTGCATAGTGTTCTGGAACCAGGAATGAGTGCATAGCATTGCAGAAGTTGAAGCTAGGGTTCAGTAATACAGATCAAGGTGCAGGAGCAGAGACTGGCTGCAGATGCTCAGATCAAGGGCATGCTATCATGGGAGCCTTCCCCAGAAAAGTGGACTCCGTGAGGCATTGAAGTGTGATTGAGTCCGGGCTTTGGGGTGCGGGTGTCAGACCCGAGTTTAAATCCAGCTCTACTGCTTGTTGTGGGCCCAAGTTCTCTAGCCTCTGAGGGTCTTCACTGGTTCCCTCACTTGTAGCAGCTCCTACCTGTTGGAGCTGTTGGATGGATGAAATGAGACTCCAGCTCAGCACTGATAACTGATAAACGTGAGACTCCCTCCTCTGAGGCAAGCACTGAAGGATGTGGGAAGGACATTTCACAAGTATAGGCTTAACACACCTGGGAGAAACACCGAGAAGGGGGACCTGGGAACCGGGGGTGTCCTGACACAAAACCATCAGGTGGAGGATAGGCTCTTCTACTGAGGTGGGGACGGGAATGGGAGAGATCACAGAGTCCAATCCTTTGTTGTAAATATGAGGAAACTGAGGTTCAAAGAGGACCATGGCAGTGAATCCCTGAGTGGGACTTGAACCGACCCCCTGCCTTTCTACCACATGCTGCTCCCGGATGGAGGCCACTGTCCCCACGTTGCCCAAAGCAGCCTGCCTTCTGGAGTATGGATCACACAGTGGGTCTTGGAGGGGAGGGATGCTCATGGGACAGCTGGAACATTGGAGGAATTAGCCGTTGATGAAATCTGACTTCTTTCTGCCGGTGAACCTCAGGCATCTGCACCAGCCTGAGGAGGAGGTTTATTTCGGTGTCTATATTTATTTATATAAGACAAGGAGGATTCCCAGTGCCCTCGGCTGCTCCCGAAATCACTCCCAGTGAGCAGCAGTTTGCTCCTGCATCCGGGCCTCGACAGGGCCTATAAAATGTTATGGTAGAAAAAAGAAGCTGAGCTAGAGCTTGTTTCACATGAGCTTGGCTTTATTTCCATCTGCTCTGAATCTGTTTTCCCTTTCTTTTCTGGCACAGTTTGCAAACCTGGATTCTAGCCTGTGCCAACTTGAGATAGAAACTGTGGGGATTGGCTGGTTGCCTTAACTATATAGACGAAGAGTATTCTACCCTGTTCAGAATTAGACAAGGTTCTGTTCAGACCAAAAGTCATGAGGGAGCCTTAAAAGGCAAGGAAGTCTTGACACGTACTACAGCCTGGATGAACCTGGAGGATGTTATGCTAAGTGAAATAAGCCAGTCATAAAAGGACAGATACTGTATGATTCCAGTCATATAGGTGTCTAGAATAGTCAAATTCATAGAGACAGAAAGTAGAGTGGTGATTGCCAGGGGTTGTTGGGAGTGGGGAATGGGTAGTTATTGTTTAATGGGTATAGGGTATTAGATTTGCAACCTCCACATCTGGAGATTGGTTCTACAACAATGTGAATATACTTAACACTACTGAACTGTACACTTAAAGATGGTTAAGATAATAAATTTTCTGTTATGTATTTTTTACCACAATAAATTTTTTTTTTTAAAAAGTCATGAGGGAAACACTCCTTTCAGTGCCGGCTGTCCAAGGAGCAGCTTTGCAGGTGTTCAGTAAGTTGGGCTCGGAGTGCTTCCAGTTTTATGGATGTTCTGTCAAGTTCGTGCACCTTTTTTATTCCAAGGCTCTTTGGCAGGGCCCAGAATTTTAAGCAACCAAAAGGAAAGCAGATGTTAAGCTGGGGTCAAGAGACAAATTGGAATCCAGGAGACCTCCTGTCACCAGCCTTCTGTCCCCTCCGTCCTAGAAAGACCGTCTGGGCCTCTGTGGGGGAGTCAGATGCTACTGCTGGCTCCTTTTGCAGAATGGCCACGGCCATTTGCTTCTGGTTCCTTTTGACTCCTGCCTGGTAATGTGCAGTCTTGGTCAAGCTGACGGTCAGGGCAAGCAGGAGAAGGCCAGGTGCACTGTGCGTGTGGCTGTCTTCATGGTTTTGTTTGCTTTTTTGCTGTGTAGATTCCTTCGGCTGTCGCAATATTTTCCGCAAAACCTCTGATTCCAACTGTGTGGCTTCTTCTTCCATGGAGTTCATCCCTGTCCCACCCCCCAGGACCCCCAGGATTGCAAAGAAACTGGAGCCCCATCAGCAAGGGCCTGGAGGTGTCCCCTCCAGGGAAGACCCCCTGATGCTGGAGATGGTGCGCTCCTTCGAGTCTGTTGATCGCGACGACCACACGGAACTGCTGTCCCCCTCCCACCACTACAGGATTCTGAACTCACCATTGAGCTTGGCTCGCAGAAATTCCAGTGAGAGGACACTGTCTCCGATCCTGCCACCCGGAAGCACGTCACCTCTCCAAACTCCTTTGCATCCCACTCTGGTCTCCTTTGCCCACGAAGATAAGAGCAGCCCCCCAAAAGAGGAGGGCGTGTGTTCCCCACCTCCAGTTCCTAGCAGCAGCCCCGTGCAGCCTCTGGGGAGCCCAAATTGCGTGAAGAGCCGAGGCAGATTCCCCATGATGGGCATCGGCCAGATGCTGAGGAAGCGGCACCAGAGCCTGCAGCCCTCTGCAGACAGGCCCCTGGAGGCCAGCATGCCCCCACTGCAGCCCATGGGCCCCGTGAGCCTTTCCTTCGACATCGCTGATGGGGTCAAAGGCCAGTGTTAACCTGGGCCAGCGGTACTCTGGGTGTCTCTAAGGAAGGCAGTGGAACGGAGCTCCACACCTCGTCAGGGCATGAACATTCAAGGACCACGCGTGGGGCGTCCTCACGGCCTCATCTATGCCTACCGCGCGATGTCACAACTGTAGAACTGCCAAAATTCACAGACCCAAAGCCTGCACAACCCAACCTCACTTAGAGACCCCCAGATGCTGGAAATCACTACGAGGGTTGGCTCGGGGGCAGCCGATCCCAATCAGCTCCTCCTTTCTCCCAGCCACTCACCAAGCCCCTTCCGCCTCCTCACCTGGGCTCGGAGTGAAAACCGTGCATCAGCCTTCTGGGCCACTCAGATTACTCTGTCTTCATGCTGTGTTACGTGTGTGCCTCTCATGGATTGTTTTCTTTTTAGCAGTCAGCCACAGTCGCATGGGGACTACCAACAGTGTCACTAAGTCATTTATCCCAGCCACAGTTTCCTCTGCAGTTTGCAGCGGCCCTCCCTTTCATAGCAGTGATCCCTGCAGGCCAGCAGGAGCTGGCGACAGGAGCCCAGGAACCTCAGAGGAAGATGGGGAGGAGCCTCAGACAAAGTGTGAACCAAACAGTGGGGACGAAGGAAAAAGACTGAAGGAAACTCTCATGTCTCAAGCAAGGTTTTGACCTATTTGTTTTCCCTTCAGTTGAAACTTGCAAATGGTTGAATTTTCTTCTCCAAAGAATTTTTTTTGTGTGTGTGATGTTGTTAAGTGAAAATAACATAATTTTAAAAACCAGATGGAGAGGTGAGAAGCAATTCTACCAAACTCATGTCTTCACGAGAGGACACTGTGTGGAGGGCATACAAGCTCACTCGGGGATGGGGGATGTTTTTTTTTTTTTTTTTTCCTTTTTGTCTTTTTTCGTGACCGGCAATGGATCGCAACCCTCAGTGTCGTGCCTGTACCGGACCGGGACCGGCAATGGGATCGCAACCCTCGGTGTTGCCCCTGCTCCTCGCTCAGCCAGTGAGCGGCCGGTCTGTATGTGGGATCCGAACCCTCGGCAGGAGCGCCGCCGCGCTTCCCAAGCGGCGCACTGTAGCAGTGCGCCACCGGGCCGGCCCCGGGATGGGGGATGTTTTAATGGCAGTTGGACTACAGTGGCCTGCAGGAGGGGCAGAGTCCCAGCCAGCCCTGTGTTTGTCCCATTGTGTCAATGCAGCCCAGGTCCTTCCAGGAGGCATAGAACATAATTACAGTTGGTTCTTTAGAAAGAGAGAAAAGGATGGTCATGGTGGGATTCAGATGGAAGGAAGGTGACATTACCTTTGTGCAGTGCAGTTTTCAAGCTGCCCAGAGAACAAGTGCCGTTTCGAGCTCAGCTGGTTTGCTGTGAGCTGTGAACATGCTTGCCTGGTGGGACATGCTCCAACACAGGACAGTTTCTTCTTCGAGGAAACCGTCAAACAGGGTTTCAGTCAATGTGGTGTTTTCACACCTTTTGCCAAGGATTGAACCAAAGATGCATCTCCAGTTTTGAGTCTGTGCCATCCCCATGTGTGTGTCCTGGGACCTCAGTGTCGTCTGACCATGTCCAGCTGGAGCCTGATGGGGGTTGTCTCCACGTGGGGCCTGGACACTGGCACTTGGCAGGGAGCACTTGGTTGGGAGCAGAATTGCTAAGGAGGATACCGAGCACAGGGTGGATAGCGGGTAGTTAAGGAGACTGGTTACAGAGCAGCCTGGAGTCTTCAACTGTTGATTCATGCACGTGTGACCAGAGACCACTGCTGTGGCCACCTCATGGTAGTCACCTCAGTCATGGATTCCAGAACAGGCCAGGGCCCTTGAGAATGGCAGCCAGCTTCATCTCCCTGCAGCCAGCCCTGGCCAGCACAGTGAGGTGGTTCATTGCCATTTTCTCATTTGCCCGTGGTGACTTCCTTTGGCCTCATGTGTATCTGACTAAGCAAGGAGAGAACAGATATTTGGCGGACCCAGAAGCCACTGTGATGTCTCGGTCTTGGTGGACCTCGGCTAGACCTGGAGCTACTGCTTCCCTCTCAAGGGGATCGCCCCAGCGCTAGGGCATGCGAGGAGGTCAGACTCCTGCTTTTGGTGTTATTCTTTTGTATGGCTTCAGACTAGGTTCTAGAACTTAAAATTGAAAAGAGCTTTTATAAGCAGAGAGAAGGAAAGAATCATCTAAGAAAGACTCTGTTTGACATGAAATGTTTGATTCTCGGTTGACCTAGCAACCTGTTTTGAAGATGGTTGCCAGCTGCAAGCAACTGTCCCATGCTGTGAGTTTGCAAGATGTTTCTTTATGCATTGTGAATTTTTTGTAGCCCCTTATGTCCTTTTTTTTGCATTTTACTTTCCTTGAGAACATGAGTGTTTCTGTGTTTCTGTTAGCTCGTGGAGATCATGTTTCCATCCCTTGTGTTCTTCTAGAACAGCTGCAGACTGTTGGACCACTAGCTGACCGTGTCACTGCTGGTGACTTGGACTCTGAACTCAGGTTTATTCCAAACCCAGTGAAAGATGAGGGGGAGTGAGCAAGGGGGATAAACTATTCTGTGTGTGTGAGCACCTGACGAATCTATGAAACCCAGTGAAAGAAGAAATGCTAAATTCTTTATTATTTTATTATATTTATATGGAAAACTTGACTGTCTCTTTGGTAAGTACAAATTGTGTTGTGTCTTTGACTCATGACTGTCTTTCCTCAGCCCGTGCCTGTGATTTCAGTCAGCCTGTAATTACTGATGGAAATGACTGAACTGTCATTTGTAAAGTCCGGGAGGAAAAGTCCATTTTAATTGTATGATTTGGTCATAAGTAAGGACTGTATTTATGTCACCATTATTAAATATATGTACTTTTATAATGACTGTGAAATACACTTTTCCCTCACTCTGACTGCTTCTTTATTTGCTGATAAATCTTAAAATATTGAGTACATTGCAAATAGCAGTACCATCTTCTACCTAAAGTTCTTGGCCCAGCAACTACTGGATACAAGTGGGAATTGAGTTGTGGGGTATTTGGGGGCATTTTCTGTTCCAGTATCCCTGCTTCATTTTGTATGTCTACAAAAGTCTAGATGACTGACATACTGCAAATGGCAGTTCAAGGTGAATCATTTTCTGTTTTGGGGGGTGAGGATCTCCCACGGAGACTCTGAAAATGGCACATGAAGAATGGTGTCTATGAATGTTACTTCTAAATTTTGTCCTTGTCTTAGGCCTTGATCAGGAGCAGGGGTGGGGTGATGGGATAGAATGGGGTGGGGGTCTAGATTAACTGTTTGGATTGTCCCAGTTATCACTTCATTCATAACTGTTCACAAAAAGGTTTTCATATATACCACCTTAACCCCTTGTGTGCCCCTGCACAGAGAGGGCACAGAAAGGCTCGGAGGTTGGCGTTGCTAGAAAGTGAAGAAGCTCACTGTTTTCTCTACATGAAGCTCTCTGTGAAGTTTGATTGGGGGAAAAAACTAGTACCTAGTTTTGATGATGATGATGTTTTCTTATAGGAATCACTACATTTTAGAACAGGAAGGGATATGAGGTTCTCTGGTTCAAGCCCAGCCTTTTAGAAAAAGAGAAAACTGGGGCCCCAAATAGCTTAAGGACACCCTAGTGTCCCCAAATGAGCTGTCTCCAGAGTGAGCACAGGGTTCCTCCCTCAAAGAGTACAGAGAAATCAGAGAGTGGCCACTGTGGTCAGGGGGAAAGTCAATAGCAGATCAAGCTGTCCTTACGATAGGTATTTTCATAGTTCCTACAAGGACCAGATCTTTGCACTTTTAAGTCATTCTCAACATTGTGTAGCTTCCTGAGATTCTGAACCTCCAGCTCTTTCACCATCCACTCTCGAAGCTGGAGAAATACAGCTTTCTCTTGGGATCCTGTCTTTCTCAATAGACCTCCCAACCCCTAGATAGCAACCCCTGATAGCCTTGTGGCCTACTGTAGCTAGTAAAAGGATATTGGGTTGTACTAGGTTAAATCAATAAAACATTTACTATATAGCCATATTATAAAGTGAGACAATTTTAGAAAGAATGAAAGACTGATATATTTTTAGGGGGGTCTGGGAGTCTCTTGGTTATTGTATTTTTTTTTTTTTGTAGGATATTCTGTGTGCTATAGGCACAGTGAGAGTAATTCAGAGCAGTAATGGGAGCTGGTTCAATTTAATGTCATCACTTTTCAATGAAAGGAGCGTTATTTCCTGAGCAGTAAATGAGTGTATTATTTGTGGCAGCTTTTTTGTCAAGGGAGCTTTTCAGACATCTGGTTCCAAAGACAAATAGGGTATATATTGGTACTTCTTTTTCTGTGGACATGTTTTCACAACACACAGTTAACTCTAAGATTTGATGTCTGTAGGCACTAAGGGACTGGGGGTGGGGGAAGGGTGGGAAGTGGGCTTTGGAAGAGAAGGTGAGGAGCATTTCAGCCTTTGTGATCAATCCCCTTCCACAGGGATCCATGTCTGAGCTGGTGTCAGGACAATGAGGCATTTGGGGGAACCACATCTGGGAGCACAGAAAAGCTTGATGCATAGCAAACCCAGGGATCAATTGGAGTTGAGTGGTTTAAAACTTAAAGATGGCACATTTCAGAGAACAGTGCCAAGAAGCTGTGCTATTTGCAGGTAAAAGGCTCTTACTTAAGGGCCTGAGCTACTTGTATCCCCTCCTCAGAAGATGGCCCATAAGCTATTTTGAAAGCAAGGCTTTAGCCTGTATTTAAGTTCTATATTATAACAAAAATTTATCCCTTCTAAGCCTGTTATCACAGCCAGCTGGAAAGGGCAAATTGCAAGCCTGTATTGGAATCAGGCCTTCTCACCCAAATTGGGCAGTGAATTCATAGCAGGTCTGAGATAAGAATTCCTTCCCATGAACCTTCCATCAGTGTTCAGTGCTCATGTCCTCCAGCAACCAGTGTGTTAGATAGATTAGTCTTTGCTATGACAACAAATTAAGCCCCAAGTCTCTGCGATTTGCTCAATAAAGGTTTATTTTCTACACACATTTTTAGGGAACTTGGCTGACTCTGAAGCAGCTATCTTCCGTGTGGTGACTCAGGGATCCAGGCTATTTCTAGCTCATGGCTCCATCCACTCAAAATGAAGCTTGTCTGGCTGCTACAGCAGAGGAAGGGTGAACTGGAGGGTTTTCCACTGGCTTAAAGTGCTCTGTAAGGGGACTCATCACTTTCCATCATAGCCCATTGCCTGGAACTAGTCATATGGCTTTGAATGAGCAAGAAGCTGGGAGATGTGGGGGAACATATGACTGTTTAAGGTGCACTTAGTGTTTCTGCCACCTTAGGGAAGGTGCAGATGCCTGCCATTTAAAGGTCCCCTACAATTGGCCTTTTCCCATTATCACTCAATTATAGCACCTGTTAGCAGGTGAGGGTTCCTTTTTCTAAATAAAGGGATTAGCATTGGTAAATATTTAAATTTCATTTAATTCAAGGAGAGTGTTTTGTGATGAAGTGTCTCTCCCCAAATTCATATGCTGAAGTCCTAACCCCCAGTACCTCAGAACGT